AAGCGGAGGCAGAAACAGCGAAAATCCCCAAAAAACGGAGCCAGAAACCCCAAAAATCCCAAGAATTGGAGCCAGAAACCCCAAAATTTCCAAAAATCTCCCCAAAATGGATCCCAAAACCCAAAAAATTCCCAAAAATCCACAAAAAATGGAGCAAAAAACCCCCAAAATTCCCAAAAATCCCCCAAAAATGGATCCAAGAACCCCAAAATTCCCCAAAACTGGATCCAGAATTCCCAAATTCCCCCATTGGGCTCCAGGGAATCCCAGAATTCCTGGAGATCGGCTGCAAAGGGAAATTCCAGGGGTTATTCCCAAAAAAATCCCCGTCCCGGAATTCCTAAAAATTCCTGAGAAATTCCCCAAAAAACGGAGCCAGAAACAGCGAAAATCCCCAAAAAACGGAGCCAGAAACCCCAAAAATCCCAAGAATTGGAGCCAGAAACCCCAAAATTTCCAAAAATCTCCCCAAAATGGATCCCAAAACCCAAAAAATTCCCAAAAATCGAGCCAGAAACCCCAAAATTCCCAAAAATTGGAGCCAAAACCCCCAAAATTCACAAAATTGGAACCAGAAACCCCAAAATTCCCAAAAATTGGAGCCAGAAACCCCAAAATTCCCCAAAAATTCCACAAAAAATGGATCCAAGAACCCAGAAAATCCCAAAAAATGGAGCCAAAACCCCAAAATTCCCCAAAAATGGAGCCAGAAACCCCAAAATTCCCAAAAAACGGAGCCAGAAACCCCAAAATTCCCAAAAATCCACGAAAAATGGAGCAAAACCCACCCAAAATTCCCAAAAATTCCCCAAAAATGGATCCAAAATCCCCCAAAATTCCCAAAAAACGGAGCCAGAAACCCAAAAATTCCCCAAAAATCCCAAAAAATGGATCCAAGAACCCAAAAAATCCCAAAAAACGGAGCCAGAAATCCCCAAAAATCCCCAAAAAATGGAGCAAAAAACACCAAAAATTGGAGCCAGAAACCCCAAAAATTTCCAAAAATCCACAAAAAATGGAGCAAAAAACACCCAAAGTTCCCAAAAATCTCCCAAAAATGGATCCCAAAACCCCAAAAATTCCCAAAAATGGAGCCAGAAACCCCAAAATTCCCCAAAAATTTGAGCCAGAAACCCAAAAAATTCACAAAAATCCACAAAAAACGGAGCAAAAAACACCAAAAAAATCCCGAAAATCCACAAAAAATGGATCCAAAATCCCCCAAAATTCCCAAAAACTGGAACCAGAAACCACAAAATTCCCAAAAAATGGAACCAGAAACCCCAAAATTCCCAAAAATTGGAGTCAGAAACCCCAAAATTCCAAAAAATCCACAAAAAACGGAGCAAAAAACACCCAAAATTCCCAAAAATTCCACAAAAAATGGAGCCAAGAACCCAAAAAATCCCAAAAAATGGAGCCAGAAACCCCAAAAATTTCCAAAAATCCACAAAAAATGGAGCAAAAAACACCCAAAGTTCCCAAAAATCTCCCAAAAATGGATCCCAAAACCCCAAAAATTCCCAAAAATGGAGCCAGAAACCCCAAAATTCCCAAAAATTGGAGCCAAAACCCCCAAAATTCACAAAATTGGAACCAGAAACCCCAAAATTCCCAAAAATTGGAGCCAGAAACCCCAAAATTCCCCAAAAATTCCACAAAAAATGGATCCAAGAACCCAGAAAATCCCAAAAAATGGAGCCAGAAACCCCAAAATTCCCCAAAAATGGAGCCAGAAACCCCAAAATTCCCAAAAAACGGAGCCAGAAACCCCAAAATTCCCAAAAAACCCCAAAAAATGGAGCCAGAAACCCAAAAATTTCCCAAAAATTCCCCAAAACTGGATCCAGAATTCCCAAATTCCCCCATTGGGCTCCAGGGAATCCCAGAATTCCCAAAAATTCCCAAAAAACGGGGCCAGAAACCCCCGAAATTCCCAGGAATTCCCGAGAAATTCCCGAAAAAATCCCCCCAAAAATGGGAATTTTGATGCGGAAATTCGGATTTTTTTCTCCGGATTCCGTGGGATTTTGGGGGTTGGGAAGGTGGGAAATGAGGGGAGATTCCAGGGGTTATTCCCAAAAAAATCCCCGTCCCGAAATTCCTAAAAATTCCTGAGAAATTCCCCAAAAAACGGAGCCAGAAACAGCGAAATTCCCCAAAAATTGGAGCCAGAAACCCCCAAAATTCACAAAAATCCCCTAAAAATGGATCCAAGAACCCCAAAATTCCCCAAAAATGGAACCAGAAACCCCAAAATTCCCAAAAATTGGAGTCAGAAACCCCAAAATTCCCAAAAAACGGAGTCAGAAACCCCAAAAATTCCCAAAAAACGGAGCCAGAAACCCCAAAATTCCCAAAAAACCCCAAAAAATGGAGCCAGAAACCCAAAAATTTCCCAAAAATTCCCCAAAACTGGATCCAGAATTCCCAAATTCCCCATTGGGCTCCAGGCAATCCCGGATTTGCGGGAGCGGAGGCAGAAAGTCGG